AGAACTAATGAACTGTGCCTGAATTAAGAAAGGAAGGTACTAGAATTATTATAATATTAGCTTTGCAAGGGGTAGCATTTTGCTCATAGCTTTGTTGGCTAGGCCAAGAATACTGCCTGGCTCCTGGGAGTTGCTTAGGAAGGGTTTATTGAATGCCTAATAAGTTTATATGTTGTTTGTTTTTAAATTAAAAAAAAATCTCACCATCCATCCATCCATCCATCCATCCATCCATCCATCCATCTATTGAGACAGTGTCTTATGTAACCTTGCTTGCCCTGGAACTTGCTCTGTGGAACAGGCTGGTCTCAGTTAGAGATCTTCCTGTCTCTGTCTCCTGAGTGCTAGGTTAAAGGTATATGCCACCATGCCGGCTTATGTCATGTATTTTACATTTCAAAACTGAACAGTAGTCACAAGTCTTGGCTTGTGAACTTAGAAGAAGTACATTTGAATTGGATGAAGCTTAATTTCTGATATTCCTGTCTTGATTCTTTGAAGAAGATGTGTAAAGGCCATTACAGTGTTCATTCATTTCTTGTCCTTAAATTGCCAGATGAGAGACTATAAATGATGAACAAACCAGTTAGTTATTTATTATTGGACATTTAAGTTTAAAATTTTGTGATAATTAATGCTTCAATGAAGGAATTTTTCTTAAGCATTTTGTGTGTGTGTGGGGGGGGAAGAGAGATGACTTTTCAACAAATAGTAATTTAGAAAAACGAGCTACTAGCAAAGGACTATGCAGGGTTACACAGCTGTGAAAGTGACCGAGGCGCTCCAGGGGTTGGACAGCAGAACTGATGCAGCTCTTTGGGTAGCCAGCTGTTCTTCTGTACATGGCTAATATCTAATCAGATCTTTCCACATAAATAAAACACCCCACAAACACCCACCTTGCAGTTTGTAGTAGAGCTGCCCTTCACTTGGATTTTTGTCTTTTACTCCTAAGGAATGAGTGAGTCACTACAACTGTTTCTGTCTCTTAATTACTGTTTAGAAATTGTAACTGCATTTAACACCTTATACATGTAGCTAGCTACATGTTTATGTGTTTAAAGTTCCTGTGCTTTTGGGAAGTTTTTGTTTTTTATATTAGAATACTGTAAAATGCTAGATTCATAAAAGACATTACCTATTGCATAAAGACTAACACAGTGACATCTGTTCAGTTCCCTCTCTCAGTTTAAGTGACATTACCAGTCTGCTCCTGAATGACTATGTCCTATCCCAGCCCACTGCTGGCTTGAAGAACCATCAACCTCATTACCCTTACTTCTCTTTATAGTATATTAGGTATGCAAATATATCTAAATAATATATTGTTAATTATGTATTATATAACATTATACAAATGATTTCATGGATCCTTGATATCACTTTTACAATATAGTAGACATGGCTGTGTATCAGTAATACTTTTGAGATTCTTCTTTTGATTGATATGTATGCTTTTATTTCACTGTTTTGTAATGCTAAGTGATAAACATGATGTAATTAATTCTTCTGTAGGAATTTTGTATTTTGTTTCTTTTGCTATTACAAGCAGTATTGTAATAGCAATAGAAGTTCCCCTTCTCCTTCTCTCTCTCTTATAGTCAGACCAAATTGTTAGGAAATTTCTCTTTTTTTCCTTTTTCTGGTATGAGGCTGGGAATTATATGTGCCAGGCAAGAGCTCCACTATCTTTTCTGATTACATCCTAACACAAACATGGCATAGATATTATAGCCACATCTCTCTATTTTAGTCAGTACTTGCCAACTCTACATTTTTTATGTCTTAATTTCCAGCTTCTATGTGCTTTATTTATTTAGATTTGTTTCCTATGATAAGTATGTGCCTAGGTTTTTGAATACAGTATTTTTAACTTGAGACTTCAGTGGGTTTTTTTGTTTTTGTTTTTGTCATCCCCTGTGCTTCCCGTCCATCAAAGTTTCTCTGTGTAGTCCTGGCTGTCCTGGAACTGGCTCTGTAGACCAGGCTGGCCTTGAACTCAGAGATCTACCTGCCTCTGCCTCCTGAGTGCTGGGATTAAAGGCATACATCACCACCACCTCCCAGTTTAGTTAATTTGTTTTTAAAGTTAATGTCTTAAGATTTATTTTATTTTTACTGTGCATCTGTGTATGTGCATATATGTGTACATGTGAATGTCAGCATCCACAGAAGATCTGGACTTACAGGAATTTGTGAACTACCTGGCTTAGGTTCTGGGAATCACACCTGGGTCTTCTGCAGAAGCAGTATTTGCTCTATGGTGCTTAGCTATCTCTCTTACCCCTAAACTCAGTGTCTTTATTCTCTGACTTAGTCATCTTTGGCTATAGTAATGTAATTACTACGAAATTTCAGTGGCTGACAGCAGGGAGCCATAGGTCTGCAACTTTGGCTGAGTTTAGCTGGGTTTGGTCATAAGTTGTGAGCTGTCAATAGTTATGTGTCATTTTGGAGCCAGCAGCCTCCTTGGGTGTACATTTCTCATGCTGCTGTGCGGTCCAAGAGAATGTAGGCAAACTTGGTGCTGTACAGCTTCCAGGTAGGTATAGTCAGTTCTGCCCCTTTCCAGGAAGGCATATTGCTACACCTCCAAAGCCAATACATGAAAAGTAAAATAAATGCTGGATTTTTCAGAAATACTGCAAAATACTTAGTGTGTGAAATTGTGTATTTTGAGACATTACTCTTCTCTAGGGAAAGGTAATTAGTTGAGGTGAAAGGACCCTGAATGTTTTATCTTGCATGCTTATGAGCCACTTAGTTGCTCAAAGAAAAAAAAAAAAAAAAAAAAGACTACTTACCTAATTTGGAAGTAGGTGGGGGTTGGGGCTGGGGAGCAGATCTCTGTTTTGAAGCTGTGATTAGCATAAAGAACCTTGATGAGGTGACCTCACTGTGTCATTCATAAGCTTTGGAGCCTGTCCTGGAACGCGCTCTGTAGACCACATTTCTAAGAGTTGCTCCGTGGGTCTGTCCATTAAATTCTTGTCTAATACACGCTTTGTATGTTTGTAAACTAAAACTTGTGTGCGTTTGTTACCTCATACGGTTGTACATCCAATGTTTGTAAGTTTTATTATCCTGACTTAAAAATATTATTATTTTTTATTATGTGTAGGCGTATATGTTTGCATGTAGGTATGTGCAGGTGGCTGAGAAGGCCAGGTAGAGGCATTGTGGCATTGCGTTATCACTTGGAGCTGGAGTTACAGACAGCTATGAGCCATCTGATGTGGGTCATGGTAACCGAACTGTGTTCCTCAGGAAGAGCAGTAGTTTTTCTTAACTGCAGAGCCCCTATCCTAATGTTTTAAAGATAGTATTTATAGTGCTGAGAAAATTCTTTGTTTCTTAAATACTAGATTTTTATTCAGCTTCTTATGGTATGGCAGGAAGAGGCCATTACATCCTATAGGATACTTTGAAATTACCATTTAGAAAACTTAACATTAAAAATGTCTGTAAACATAAGCCCCTGGGCCAAGAGTAGTTGCTCCAAGTATGAATGCATATGGACTCTCGGTGCACTGGAGGATGTTTTATCTACTTGGTGTTTTTGTGACATTTGGCTGCCTTTCCCTGTTGTCATTCAGCATGTTCTACCTTAGTTTCCAAGGAGGGAAATCAAATCCAATAAATGTCATGCAGTACCATCAAGAAGTGTATTTATTGTGAGAAACTTTGAAAGTGTACCTGAAGCTAAAGTGGGATTATATGTGATTGTAGATTTGCACGCTACTCATTTCCTTGGGATAACTGGGTTATCTGGAAATGCTAATCACTGGCTCATGCACAGATGAAGGAGAAAGCCTGTGGGCTGGGGTCAGATGACAGGATGGCAGAGCTATGATTATATACCGCTGCTAACTACAGCATGTGGTTCGTGCACATGCTGATGCAATTTCTACATTGTGTAAATGTGTGCAGTACAGTATATGGGTATAGCAAACTGAATCTATAAAAGTGTAACCCTAACTCTGATTCAAAGCCGAGGGGTTACAGCTTTGTTGTTTTCTTGAGTGATTTAGAAAATCAAGTGTCACTTTCATGATTGCAGGAAGTAGTTTACTGGTTTATGAAGGAAGTTATGCAAGTATGCATTTTGTATTGAATTGCAGAGCTGTAAAATTATGTATTAGATTTAGGAGGGTATTAATGCATCCATGTTTTTGTTTAAATATACCACTAGTACTATGCATCATCTAAAAATGTGCTAATAAATTGAGGAAGATTTTATAATGCAAATCTTAGTCAAGGGTCAAGTGTGTTTTAGTATTGATACCCACACAAATGCAAAACAATGCTTTATATTACACTTAAGTGAAGAGAACCAAAGTCTTAAAAATTTCAATTTATTTACCAGATATATTTTAAAAAACTCATAAAGAATGCCTTGAAAAAGATATGTGCTGTGCATATTTAAATAAATGTGAACTCATATTATGTTTATACTGAGTAAATGGAAATCAATAGAGAAAGTTTATAGCACTAACTTTTGTGGTCATTATTTGAGGCTTACATAAATACTTTGTATGCAACAAAATAGACTTAGCAGGCATGATATGGTTTATTTACCTTAGGAAGAACCCTCTTCTTCTTGACTTCATTTGTTCAGAATGGAGAAGGAATAACTTTAGTTCTGAAGATAAAGACTAAAGATAACAAGTTTTATTTTTTTATGGCAGTTGTCTTCTATATACTAAAATTCCCTTCTACATACTAAGCTCCTGTATGACTGTTGTCTTTTACATACTAGGCTTCTGCATGGTACTTGCCTTCTTCAAGGTACTTGTTTGAGAGAATCTTGTAGGTACTTGTTTTAGAAAGAGGAACCTGTGAATTGGATGGTGATTAGTAGTAATGTTTTATATTTAAAAGAGAATGACTGGGTTCCATAGATAGTAGAAAAAGCTGAATTAAAGTTATTCTCATTTCCCTTTTGAAAACTTTAACCATTGACCTTTAGAAAATCTGATTTCTTTCTTTTTTGTTTCCAGAACAGGATATGTATTCCTCTGAGAAACACTGGACAGTAGATTTTGCTTTAATACTGGATTGGGACAACACACAGAGACTTTTCCAGTCATGAGTAAGTGCCCTGCTTGGTTTAATTTCTGCTGCCTTGGGAGCATTTGTAGTATTTACCCCCAAAAGAAGAAACTATTACTATTATGTCACTTCCTGAGAGAATAATTTGATTCTCTCCAGTGCTGTGGCCTTTCTGTCTGAAAGGCACAAGAGACACCTTTTGATGTTTGGTTTATGCTAAGAGGTTAGATGTGATGAAGGAATCTAGCCCTAGCTTATTAGCTGACCGATTCTACCACTTCAGAGCTATTGACTTTCTATTTTCTACTGGGAAGTGATTCTAGAAGTATGATAGAGAATATTGGAGCTGACCATAACTAGGAGAGGTTTTATTGTATAAAATTTCATCCTTGGTCAACATGGTAAAACCACAGTGCTTTTAATGGAGCAAAAAAACAAGGATATCTTAGAAGATTTGAAAAAAAAAATATTTTCTCAGTTTTAAGGGGACAGTATATGTCATGTTTTCTGTTCACTTCTGCCTGTGAGCAGAACTGGGTTTTATTGTCGTTAACTGCTTACTTTTAGAGTGGGAAGAAAGAATTGGGGTTTTATTATAAATAGGGTCTTAAATCGCTGTTGGAAGTATAGACTTTCTGATTATGGAAACTCTGGATATTATGGATAGTATGAGCATTTCCTTATTGGAATGTTAATTTACACTTCTTTGTGTGTTATTTACATTGGTTGTGTTTACCTTAATATGGATTAAGGCAGTTTTTCTCTCTCTTTTTTGTTTGTTTGTTTGTTTGTTTTTTCGAGACAAGGTTTCTCTGGGCTTTGGAGGCTGTTCTGGAACTAGCTTTTGTAGACCAGGTGGTCTCAAACTCACAGAAATCCACCTGCCTCTACCTCCCGAGTGCTAGGACTAAAGGCATGTGCCACCACTGCCTGGCCCTCTCATTTTTTTTTAAAGTTTATTTTTATAGTGAAATATTTAAATCTTTCTAATAAAGATAATTTCGGAAAGTCACCTTTGATTTTTAAAACATGTGCTGTGTCTTCTTTTGGTTGGGGTACTTTGAATAAACAGGATCAGTTGCTAGAGGTATTCTGGTCCATATGAGGAAGAAGCTACCTGTGGTAATTCAGTTCCATTCATGAACTTTTGTATGAAGTTGTCTCATAGAAACCCTAGCTCCAGTGAAGATGGTCACGAGTTCATGAAAATTAGGATGGAAAATTGAACTCTTTGTAGTTTTAGAGTTCTGTTAGCATCACTGTTGTTACATGAGTTTCTGAGGACAGGTAACTTGTATTTTCATTTTCTAATCTCACTGTTTTGTACGTGTAGAAGTCAGATCTTTGTAAGCTTGAAGGTAGAGGTGGAATGGGGGCCTGATAGGTGGCAGGTGGTATTGTAACATGTTTTGTTTTAACATTTCGATGGTTAATATTTTATTTAAAATTGGTTCTCTTTTTAAATGTCTATTAGCTTTTCTCTTTTGCTTATTCTACAGTGGTTTTTTGTTTCTGTTTTTAAACATGCACCAATGTCTCTAAAGATCTCTTAGAGGTTAATTTGGAGTCCTTTTCAGATCATTCAATACTTTTTCAGTGAGCAGTGAGCTTTTGATTATTGATATTGCTGCTTTGTTCATCATTCTCTGTAACTTAGCAGAAACACTCTAATGGACTTTATGTTTTCTTTTGATGTCCCTGCAGTCTAGTAGATATGTCGTTGTCTCTGCCCAGCTTTAGAATTCACAGATCAGAACTGGGTCTGTGTTAGTGGACCAGAGCCTCAGACTCGTGGTGACAGTAGAAATGTCAGTTTCAGTGCTGGTATTAGGTCAGCATTCTCCTTGAGACTATGGCTTCAGCACAGTTGGCAGAAGCCTTTCTGCATTTTGCCGTGAGGAAAAGCTCCACGCAGGTCCAGATTTGAATTTGAAGAGCCTGGATGTTGACCCTGCTCATATTTACAGCTTCCCTAAGATACAGCTTCCTGCCACCTTTCCTGCCCTGGGGCAGTGTAGCTTCACTTGTCAGTCTCATAGATGTGCTAACATGATTTGGAGCACAGCTGTGTCATTTTAGTGCTTTGTCTTATTTCATTTGTTAAAAATATTTGTTTCTGTGTGTCTTTTGTGAGAAGCAGAGGCCCAAAGAATGAAGAATGTCACTGGGGTTTCACTGCCAGTGTTAGCATAAAGTCAGACTCTATATTTCACATTTGAGGTTATTTTAAAAGTCAGCCTTTGGTTACCAACCTAGTTCCTACTGTCCCTCTTTCATTCCCTGTACCCCTTCACTTGCCAGGCGAGCCTGTTGCACTTGTAGCGTGTTCAGTGAACTTTAAGGTTCATCTGCTTGTTGCTTTCTTTCTCTGATCTGTATGCTCTTTGAGGGCAAACACTTTTTTTGGCATTTAAGTACTAAATAAATATTACAGATATTTGTGTCTTTAGTGTGTGGTAGCTCTTCTGTGTGTTATTTTTTAGATGAAATTTGAGGAGTTCTTCCAAGAGGACTGACCGAAGATGGTGGTAGATGGAACGGTATGAAAAAGTAAGGTTGAGGGGCTGGAGAGATGGCTCAGTGGTTAAGAGCAGTGGCTGTTCTTCATGAGGACCCGGGTTCTACTCCCATCACCCACATGGCGGCTCACAACTGTCTGTAACTCCAGTTCCAGGGGATCTGGTATCTTTACACCATTGCACATAAAATAAAGTTAAAGTATTTAAAAAAAAAAAAAAGAAAAGAAAAAGTAAGGTTGACCCCACAGAGGTGCACTGAGTGGCCGAATAGTCTAGCATAGAGATAGATGGGAATGGACATTGGGAAAGAAATGTCTGGAGGTGAGAAGTCAGACTCCTAGTCCTTCATATAGGACTTATGGTGTTAAAGATTTTAGTTATGGGAGTGACTAAAGATTTCATTCTGAGCTGGGCATTGGTGGCGAACGCCTTTAATCCCAGCCTAGTCTACAGAGCAAGTGCCAGGATAGACTCTAAAGCTACACAGAGAAACCCTGTCTCGAAAAACAAAAACAAAAACAAACAAAAAAAAGATTTCATTCTGGAGAAATTACTCAGAAACATACATGCTTTTATTGTAAATTTAAAAAGTTGGTTACCTAGTATTTGTTTTTGCTAACTTGTTCTTAGACTTTGGTTCATCTCAAACTTTCTTTGGATCAGACTGGGTTACATTTCCTTTTCTTGACAATTTGATGATATTATGTAGAAAAAGAAGTTGTTCTTGAATAGACCACCACAGTAAAGATAGTGTAAGGAGTGTTACAGTGGTCATGTGCTGTGTTTTTAGAGAACTCTAAATCTCAGAAAGTAGAACTCAAATGTAACAGAAATTCTTGTTTTGAAGGAAAAAATCCACGTGGTTTGTAGTTAAAGTGATTTAACTTATCTGTCATTAAATCTATATGGAGTTTCTAAACCTAGATGTGGGTGAGGATCATTGATTATTCTTTATTAATGATTTTTAATATTTATGTAGCTACCAGAGGAAAGATTGGATATTTAGATGTTTGAGTAGCTTTACCTGACAGGTTCTCCAGCTCATGTCATGGAACACTTAGAACATAGTACTTTTGAACAACACATGGGATAAGTGGATGAAGGTTGGAGTCAACTGACCTCGATATTGCAGGTCTGGGCATCATGTGTTTCCAGCAAGGGATGGATTTATCTACCTTCCTTGGCTTAGTCCTGAAATAGCAGTTGGGATGCCCAAGCCCTTAGGACTTAAGAATTTGTTGACTGCTTTGTTTTTCAGCTCTCTTTCTTGCCAATATGTATTCTAGCAAATTCTGAGATAAATGCTTGTGCTGCTATTATGATATTGTGAATTTCATTGTGGGTTGTTGACTTGATTAGTCAACAAAAAGGTCTTGATTTTTAGCACTTAAATTGTTACTGCTTTTTGTATTTGCATTTTGTAGTTTGCATTTGTTCAGTTTGTTTATTTTATCATGTAAAGCCAAAAATGAAATAAGAGAAGTGGGTATGTTAGATTATTAATAGCTATTATAGCAAAGAAAGTTCCTGTACATGGAAGTGTTTAGTGATTATATTGATGGGTATGTTTAAAACAAAACAGAGCAAAAAGTAAAAGAAATTAAGTTATACTTAATTTTCTTTTTCAAAGCTTCATGTTGAAACCCTGTTTTCTCTATTTTTAGATTTTTAATCTCTACTGTATTTTATTTCACTTTTGTCAGGAAAGTTTTCTTTGAAATTAATGACATGTGTTTTGTAAGTTGTATGACTGTCAATTCTCTTCTGACTGGGTCAATCAGGAGTGTGTGTGTTGCATATGATTGATCCTGCCCTTTGGCCTATATAATGGCATGCATTTTTTGTGGGGGAAGGTGGGTGGTGGTGGTGGTGGTGGTGTTTCAAGACAGGGTTTCTCTGTGTAACTTTGGAGTCTGTCCTGGTACTCTCTCTGTAGACCAGGCTGACCTCCCAAGTTCTGGAATTAAAGGCGTACGCCACTACTGCCTGACCTGATGCGTTCTTTTTTCCTAAGGTCATTTTTGCATAGGAAACATCTCTCATTCAGTTGAGGAAAAGAAATGGGCCTGATATTTGGTGTAGTGTAATGTGTGTTCTAGTAGATAATGTTATAAATGGAGTAGGTCGATGAGTCCCTCAGTGATAACTTAGGGATCTGTACTCTTGGTTATGGAAAAATTGGCAGTAATAGATAATTCCCTAAATATTGGTTAACAATTCTGCCTAGAACAATAGTCTATCTAGAAATAGGATAATTACATACTTCAGAAATAGTCTGGGAAGCTAGAAGAAAATTTAAGTTGAATTGTATTTTTTTACTGGTGCATCTGTCTTATCACTGAGCCAACATCTTAATTGTTGTTGCAGCGATTCTTAATATAAGAGATGAATCTGTAGATGTTTGGGGCTTTGCACATGGCAGTGAACAGGGGGAGTCCTGGCATTTTGTGGCAGGGGAAAGTAGGGTGTGCTACAGCTCCTGTGGAGAACAATGTCTCCTACCCAAACTGACTGCAGTAAA